GGCAAAATACGGGGAATATCAAACATTTGGAAAAGAGCGTCGGGGACATCAACAGCGCCTTTCTGAAAGTTGAAAGATTTTTATCTCATAAAAAAAAAGACGCTGGGCGCTGCGCTTTTCCTCCGAGAGGCTGCTTCAGATAGAAGCTCCAGGTGAACACGGGGCCTTAGACAGTCACATCGTTTTCTCCATCAGCAGTTAGATTGTAAATCATAAAAAAGGCAGATTTATTATTCTTGTTTTCAAAGGTCGTCTCTTTGCTCTGTTTTTGTTCTTTTATCAGATGGCCACGATGAAGAAGAGCCTGCGTCTGTTTAACGGATTTCCTTTCGATGCCGACAGCGAGCTGTACGCCAAGAAGAGAGAAAAACTCCTCAAGTGAGTTTGTTTGCAGAGACACGTCGGCCTCATCCTGTAGAGAAGATTCATTCACTTAAGTTTTATAAAGATAATAAGTAATACCTTTAATGAGGAAGATTTTTTTAACTTCAGGCTTCATGTTTTCTCCTGATTTTTCTTGTTTTCATGTCTTGCTTGTTTTAATGTTTCTGTAAAAAGATCCAAGCTGTTCGTGGATCAGTCAATGAGTGTGTTTAAAACAGGACACTTTAAAAGTTCACGTTCTGAGCTCAGTGCCATTAAGGAAAAAATGTCCTCAGGCAGAAAGACGGCTGTAAAAAAGTGTTGATTTAAATGATTCACAGGCTCATTAAGTTTTTCTCTTTTTGTGTGTTATTTAAAAAAAAAATGTAAATGCAGGAATTCACATTTTACAAACACCAAACTGAAGGTGGTCTGTGGCGTTTTGGACCTGGAGAAGAAAGGAACGCACGCCGATCTGGTGGACAGGATCATGACTTTTCTCATCGCACCGAAGAACAGCGGGAAGGTGAGCAGGGCGCCGGGCGTATTTAAGATGTGTGGTTAAATGTTTCTTTGTTCTCCGTAGAGACTTCAGGCACGATGCCATGAATGTATGTCCATCAAAGATGAAGCTCAGAAAAGGATCTCCACAGAGAGACTTTTTGGTCATATATGAAGGAGTTTATTTTTATCCGAGAGAGGAGAGAGCTTATATGAAGAGGAAAAGCGCTGCACGTCCGTCCTGTCTCCATGACAACAGTCTGTTAACGGCCGCTGTATGACCGACACTGCTCCGTTGGTTTTTACTGCATGTTTTATATTTGAGATTTTCTTTCCCTTCACTGTGCTCTAAGCTGTCTTAGTTTGGATGATGAGTTTAATAATAATGAGGACTCGGGTCAGACACGGAGCGAGGAGGATGTGGGTACACGACACGATCCATAAGAGACACAAATATCATGTGAGGGGAATGTCATACATTTTGAAAAGAGCGCTGATGATGTCCACAGCGTCTTTCTAGAAAGTTAAAAAGATGATCGTCTGGAACAGTTGGAGAAAAGAAAAAGCTGCTAGTCGTAAATAAAACGCAGTGGACACAGGCTCTTGTATTAGGATGTATTTTTAAAATGGAAATCAAACGTTATCGGCTCGCCTAGGAGCTGCCAAACTCTTTGGACAACAACAGTTATTTCAGTTTGAAGAACTCTGGAGTTACCGGCTTGACTGCTGCCTCAGTCGGTTTGTTTGAGTTGTTCTGGTTTGATGGTTTGAATCATCACTCAAACTGAGGAAGTGGAAAACAAGCCACTCCAGAGGTGTGTGGCGTTGAATTTCTGTTTTTTGTCAGAGAGGTCTGGTCTAATCAGAAGAGACTGTGTTGTTTCCACGGTAACTGACCTCCTCGTTTTGTTTTTCTGCAGCGTCTGCCCGTGAAGAAAAAGAGGAAATCAAAGAAGAAACTTTCCGGCGACGACTCCAACACCAGCGCCAAGAAGAAGAGCAAACCCAAACCCCGCAGCTCGTCGTCCAGTCCCAAGAAGTCCAAAACAGGAAGCAAGTCCAAAGCCATCGTCATGGACTCGAGCAGTGACGAGGATGACGAGGAGGAAGAGGAGGAGAAGGCGGGCGCTTCAGCCGAGGCCGAGGGATCGGACGCTGAAGACAAACCGTCGGGTAAAGAGGAGGAGAGGTCTGACAAGTCGGAGGAGTCTGCTGACGAAGAGGAAGAAGAGGATGAGGAGGAGGAAGACGACGATGACGATGATGATGATGATGAGGTGAGGTTATCCAGGCATGTAGCTACGAGACACACCGCAAAAACTAGGACGACGATGTCCTTGGTGTGTCAGACACTCATTCCTGTCAAGATGTGGAGACATTATCAGAGGGAAAAACAAAATACTCTAAATAAAGACAGGACGAGGTAAAGGGGTTTGAGGTGGTCTTGAGTCATGGAGGGGTGGTGAGATCTTAAGTATTTGTTTTAATTTAATCTGCAGTAAGATTTATTTCTAAGTGTGAGTTTCAAAATGTCTGATACTGCGATCCTGTTTTGATTTCACGTTTTACAGAAATACAATCTCCGTTATTCGATAAAAATCTCAAAGCTTTAAATCCCAGTGATATTTTCAACGTTGGTACGACCTTCACTTAAAGATATGTCACTCTCTCTTCATAAAAATACAGAGTACATCATTTCTAGACATGCATGATACACTTTTAAAAAAATGTTCTGATCCGTTTTGTTCTGATAAATATTTACCAATATTTTATTATAACTAATGATGTTGTTGTTGTTGTTTGTGTTATATGTAAGGATACACCAAGCTGCAGTAAACCTGGCTTCACACAAACAGGAAGCAGCAGCAACATGTCAGGTTTTCAAATTAAATCTTTTAAACTGAAGAGTTAAAATGTTTGATCATAAAGTATGAGCTGTTCCATCTCGTCTGAACGTCGTCATGGAGACGATTAGTGGACAGTTCAGTCTGAACGTCTTCAGAGTGAGACTGAACGCGCCCAATGATCATTCTTAATCAGTTACGTAGATCGGCGCTGTCAGTCAGATATTTGATACGATATCAGATCAGATCGGTCCCATCTTCAATTTTCCAAATATTTTCTTCAGAAACATCGTCCCTCTTACTTTACTGCAAGTTGTTTGTAGCTGATGGATTCCTGAATGTTTGTGCACTTTGGATATTAAAGTCTTTCTACTCAACACATAGATGTTCAGCATGTTGTAGTTCCCCCCAGCTGCCACTAGATGTCACTAACGAGTCACATTCTCCAGATATCAACCTCCAGGTTCTCCTCGTCTCCTCCGTCTGATTGAGGTCGTCAAAACTGTGTGACTCTTCAGTTCTTCTTGATACCAAACCTTTTCATTTTATTTCATTTTAAATGTGACTTCTGTTGTTGTTGCCGTGGTAACAAAACGGTTATCAATATCGTTTGATTTCTTTACCAGTCATGAATCAAAGTTTAAGATGATGATGTCATGATAACCCTCGTCGTGTCAATTAGCTTAAAAAGAATTAGAAACTTTATCGATGGATATCAAACATCGGTCTGTGTTTTTATGAGCTGGCAGTCGACTTATCCTAATTCACTTTCGTTTCAGTCTCCCAAATCAAAGTCGAGCCGAGGGAAATCGGCTCCAAAGAAATCGGCTCCGGTGAAGAGGCAGAGGACGCCGGCGAAGAAGGCGGGGCCTCCTAAAAAAAGAGCCAAGAAGGAAATTTCAGACGAGTCGGAATCTGAGGCCGAGGAGAAGGTACGACGAACGTCTGATATCATAAAAACAGAAAGCACAGGCGAGCAGTGAAAGTCCTGTTGTGCTCTTTTATCTTGATCCAAACAGATCTGTTTTATTTTCTGTGCAGTCAGACTTTGTAAGATTTCTCATCCAAAAAAAAGCCTGATTTATTTTGAATTCCTCCTGGGTTTGAATTCCTCCTGGGTTTGTTGTCCCCAGAAGTGCACACTCACTGCAGGATGTAGTGTGCACATTTCCTGTTTCCTACCGCACGCACCTTCCTGTCCAACATGAAGCAGAACAACTGCACATCCACGAGTAAAAGGACAATGGAAGCGCTCTATAATGTTTAGAACTTAGACTGCATTATCCATTTTAACCACTAGGTGTCAGAGTTACATACTGCTCCTGTGTTGGGAGCACTCTAAACCTCGGTGGACATTGACTCCGGGCTGTTTTTTTAATGTTTTTGTTTTTTTCCAGCCTAAAAAGAAGAAATCGGCTCCGGCCAAACCTGCAGCTAAAACCAAGAAGGCCGACAGCAGCAGCAACAGCAAGAACAACACAAACACAGGTGAGGGCTTCACGTCTCATCAGGGCTGTAGAGTCTGCGTCTGAAGAGGTTTTATACTTCAGTGTCAGACCCTACATCACTTCATAGGATGTATTCAAAAATGTCCACCCATCGTGTGTGTGTGTGTGTCTGCAGCGGAGGACAGCTCAGACGACGACGAGCCGCTCATCAAGATGATCAAGAAAGCGCCGACCGACGAGCAGCTGAAGGAGACGGTGCAGAGCCTGCTGAAGGAGGCCGACCTGGAGGAGATGACCATGAAGCAGATCTGTCAGAGGGTGAGAGGCCTCACACACACACACACACACACACACACACACACACACACACACACACACACACACACACACACACACACACACACACACACACACACACACACACACACACACACACACACACACACACACACACACACACACACACACACACACAACTAGGGCTGAGTACTTCTTGTCATGTGCACACACAGGTTGGTCGTGTAGGTGCAGTGTTTAACCTTGTTTTTGTAGAGCTTGCACTTTGCATGACTCATGTCCAGCTGCTTCCTTACTTTTCCCAAACTTTCTGTTTGTTTGCCAACTTCCGTTTATCTTGGCTTTCAGTTCTTCATCGCGATGGATCGAGTATGCTTTATTGTGAAATGCACCGTAAGAGAAGTGTCATCACAGGGTTGCAACTGTATAGATTCTGTAACATCTGCAAGGTGCCTATCACAATATATTGCCCTATCGATTTTTTTAGCAGGGCAGAGATGGGATAAACACCACTGCATGAAACAGCACGGACATGAAGACATTCTAAACCATGCTGTGGCTTCAGAATAAATGAATAACAACGATACCTTCCTCTGTGATTCAGGTGTTTGACACTTATCCAGACCACGACCTGACCAGCAAGAAGGACTACATCAAACAGACTGTCAAGTCTGTGAGTACACACACACACATACACACACACTGGTCTTTGTTATAAAATATGTGTTAATTAATTTGTCATTAAAGATCCACTCAGTGAGCTGTGTAGAGAGTGAGATGATAAAGGTATCTTACTCTCTGATCATTAAGGAAACATGCTATGTTGAAGTGCTGGCTTCTCTGACAACAATGCAGCAGCCAGTATGTCCTCCTTCTAACTTTAGATTCTGCTCCTGAATGCTCTGGATTTGTTTGGACCAGAGAAGGTAGGCGCTTTTAAGGCACCCAGCACACGGCCGTTTTGGACGCCCCTCGGTTTGTCAGATATGAGAGCAGTTATCAGGTCAACAGGTGTTGCAGCGATGGAAGTGGTTCAGATAGAAGTGATTGTACCCGACCTAAAACTTCAACATAGCATGTTTCCTTAATGATCAGAGAGTAAGATACCTTTATCATCTCACTGATTGGTCCTTTACACAGACATGTCACTTCATCTCCTGAGATGAATTCAAAGTTTAGACTGTTTTTATTTCAGTATAATAATGAGATGTTTTGAAATGTTCCCTCAGCTCATCACATGAAGCCTGCAGGATGAAGAAGAAACGACTCGGTCTTCTTCAGTTACATATCACTTTGTTTTCTAACTCAACTCTTTTCTACATGATTGTGTTTTTTATGAATGTGTGAGTGGTGTATAGATTCTCAGATTAACGTTCATGTTCACTCCTTCATGAGGAAAGAAGAGGAAGTGGTCGTCTCTCTTTGATTCTGGATGAACATTCTGTAAATATGTTTGTGATGATGTGAAGAGATGTTTCTGTTTCCTTTGTTCTGTCTTCAGTTTAAAAAGCTCACTGACTAATTTAGTAATTAAAAGGAAACTTTTCAAACAAAATCTTCTCTGCTTTGAAATCTGTGAAATCTGAACAAACATGGTCATTTCTCATTTAAAGCAACAATGAACACATTTGATTTTTCACCATGAACTCTAAAAGCAACAAAAACATCTTAATTGTTTGTTCAGTGAGCGGCAGATAGAACCCCACTCTTCTTTAAATGAACCTGTTTGTTTATGTTACTGATGGAAGCGGCTCAGTGAACTTTACTCTTGTTGTGAACGAGTAAAGATATTCCAGGACCTGCACAGAGTCAGGACGCCCAAACTTACACCTAACCCTGTCCACAGACTTATTTCAGATCCACTGGATAGAAATACATGTAAATGAGTACTGCAGCAAACACCTCCCCTCACATGGCCCTCCCCTCCTTCACAGAGAGAGGGACTGTGAGGAGGACCGCCCCTCCTTCACAGAGAGAGAGGGGGACTGTGAGGAGGACCGCCCCTCCTTCACAGAGAGAGGGACTGTGAGGAGGACTGCCCCTCCTTCACACAGAGAGAGGGGGACTGTGAGGAGGACCGCCCCTCCTTCACACAGAGAGAGGGGGACTGTGAGGAGGACCGCCCCTCCTTCACACAGAGAGGGACTGTGAGGAGGCCCGCCCCTCCTTCACAGAGAGAGGGACTGTGAGGAGGACCGCCCCTCCTTCACAGAGAGAGGAACTGTGAGGAGGCCTCTCCTTCACAGAGGGAGGGACTGTGAGGAGGCCTCTCCTTCACAGAGGGAGGGACTGTGAGGAGGCTCACATGTTTCTCCAACGTGCCTCTGCTGCTATCTGTACACAAACTGTTTTGTTTTTAAGATGAGTTCATCTCAGTTCATGCAGCGGCTCCACTTTGAATAACATGTCAGACTGAAAGTTAGTAATCAGACAAGTGATTAAATAGAGTCAGTGTTCTAGTTTTCATTTTGCAACAAAAAATAGATATAATGTTTGTATTTCCATTTGTTACAAGCTGCACAATGTAGATAAAGGTGCTCAATATCAGCAGATAAGCAGTGCGTGTGTGTGCGCGTGCGTGTGTGTTGCTCATCGTGATCATCTTTACATCAAGATGTGTTTGTGTGCATGTCTGTACTTGTGGTGATAACATTTCAGAATGCTGACACACCCCTCACCCTGAGGCCGTGTGCAAAAGCGAAAGTTACAAACTTGTTTACTTAGAGACTATTCTCACCCTCTCTATAACAGCACCATTTGGTCCGTGCTCTTTCGGAGTGCAGAAGGTGAGTTTCTCTTCTTTATACTTCACATTCACAGAGAAGAAAGAAATGTTAGTGTGCAGCTGATGCGGACTTAAGAGGAACTTTACATTTCAGTCCACACTTCACATTTCAATGTGCAAAGAAATTAAAACAGTATGCAGGAAAAACAAGTTACATGCAATGAAAGGGAGGAGGAATGCATATTCTAAATGTGATAGATGAAGTGCCAAAGGATGTTCTCCAATTTGTACAAACAGATGTTTGAAGTCAGAGAGAGAGAGAGAGAGAGAGCGAGAGAGTCAAGTTTCAGACATTCAAAACTGAAGCTTCTCCTGGCTCCGTTTTAAAAATATAAATATAAATGAACAGCTGCTTGCTGCTGAACGAAACGTTGTTTATGTCTGTGCGCGTGCGAGCATAAATTGAGCAGATTAAAGTTGTTTGTTGCAAAAACTAGATTAATTTAGAGGGGAAAACACACATTAACTCATTAAAAGTGTTTAATGTTCAACGATGAAAGAAGATATCTCCGAGAAAGAAGCTGTTTCGTTTTCAATGATCTACTGGTTTGTTATTGTGTTACAGGGGAGAGGCCAAAACAATTCAACTGACAAGAGACTAAAACTCAGTTCAGGTGAGCAGCGCCATCTAGTGGCTCGACAAAGACATGGTTTAAAGAATACAAATAATAAAGGACCTTTAAGTTTTATTGAGTTTCCAAGATGACACGTTATTGAACATCACTGTCCTACAAATAAACTGGTGTTAAGAACCTTTTTTTAATTCTTAAAGATTATGATCTCCAAGAGAAACTTTATTTTGAAAGGTACACATTCAAATCAAAATAAATGGGAGCTTCTGATGTGATCACAAACATGGGATACAGAGGCGTGATTATGTGATTTCATCCATAAAGTAAATCTGTTGTTTGATCTGAAATGAGGTAGAGAGCTTTGTGACGTCGTATGTGAATATGTGTGTGTTCAAAATGTGATAGAGGGACAAACCACTCGTCTGTATCCCACACCTGTTTTCTTTTGTGTGTCTGTAATTTCAGTGATTTATGGGATGTTAATTCAGATATCTGAGACAATGATTTCCCCAGAGAGTGTTTGTTCCACCTCTGCTGCAGCTCCAAATGTTCAGTGTTGGTAAGCCGATGAATTAGAGGAGCTGAGACCCTAATGCACCACACGAGGACCAGAGACACCTGAGAAAAATACATCTGAGTTTTTAAATGACAGAAAATTATGACTATGAAGCTTCAGTGTTTATCCAGCTCTGCATGGGTCTGTAAACCTTTCTGTGTTCTAACTGATCGATGCTTCAAGTGGTTCCCAGACTTATTCTGCCAAATTAAAATAGCCCCGCCCCCCTCCACCCACCACCCTGACCCTCACGCTCTTTGCAAATACATTTTCTATATTTTTAGAATTCATCTCAAACATTGGCTGCAAGAAGTGCAGAAAGCGACTTCAGTGTGAGACTGCGAGCTGAAAAAAACAACGAGCCACTTTTAGAAAAAATGAAGTGGTTAAAGTGAGGCTGTAAAAACAAACCCAGAGGAAGTCCCATCACTAAATCTGTCATGTTTAGATAACCGTGAGAAACAACTTCATTGTTTTTTGTTAAGCCTTGCCAGAGTTATAAAACTCGATAGGATATCGATACCTGTTTCAAGGCAAACTCCTGCACCTTGACGTTCTTAATCTAATGAAAATGAGAGCTGTTTAAATAAAACACTTCAAATTCTGACGTCTCAAGTTGAGTCAGAGCTCAGAAACATTTTTCCCATGTGGCTCAAATCCTCTTCATACATGTTGTTTTTATGCTCACACAGAATCTGTCCCTCACGCCTCTACTCTGTGATCCCTCCTCTTTTTAAAAAACACCTCTTCATCACCTCCTCGTCCTCCTCATCACAGCCAGCTCGGACCCGAATGCTAACATGATCACATTTACAGTGTCAACATCTTTTAACGCAGCGATCAGGACTCATCACTCAAACTGAAGTCTGAGCGTCTTCATCATTCTCTGCATGGCCGACCTCGTCCATCAATAATAAACATCCTGCTCATGAGCTCACTTCTCTTTTCAGATTGAAAAAACAGAAGTCAAATATGGAAGTGTCATTCCTGACCGTCTGTTTCTCACTACCTTCTGCAGGTCTGAAAACTGTTTCTCAGCCGCAGCATGATAAGTCTTTCTGCAGACTTCACTAAAGTAAGTTTCATACTCGCTGTTATTTGAGCACTTTTAGGACACGAATGTTTCTCCTGCTTCCTGTGTTTGTTCCTGATTCACAGATGATCCCTAAATGTCTTGGTCTCGATCCCTAAATGTGTCGACCCCTAAATGTCTCGGTCTCGATCCCTAAATGTCTTGGTCTTGGTTTCGATCCCGAAATGTCTCGATCCCTAAATGTCTTGGTCTTGGTTTCGATCCCTAAATGTCTTGGTCTTGATTCCTAAATGTCTTGGTCTTGGTTTCGATCCCTAAATGTCTCGATCCCTAAATGTCTTGGTCTCGAGCACTCTGGTCTCGGGTATGTCTTGGTCTTGGTCTCGATCCCTAAATGTCCTGGTCTCAATCCCTAAATGTCTCGGTCTCAATCCCTAAATGTCTCTGTCTCGATCCCTAAATGTCTTGGTCTTGATCCCTAAATGTCTTGGTCTTGGTCTCGATCCCTAAATGTCCTGGTCTCGATCCCTAAATGTCTCGGTCTCGATCCCTAAATGTCTCGGTCTCGATCCCTAAATGTCCTGGTCTCGATCCCTAAATGTCTCGGTCTCGATCCCTAAATGTCTCGGTCTCGATCCCTAAATGTCCTGGTCTCGATCCCTAAATGTCTCGGTCTCAATCCCTAAATGTCTTGGTCTCGTTCTCAATCCCTAAATGTCCTGGTCTCAATCCCTAAATGTCTCGGTCTCAATCCCTAAATGTCTTGGTCTCGATCCCTAAATGTCTTGGTCTCGGTCTCGATCCCTAAATGTCTAGGTCTCAATCCCTAAATGTCTTGGTCTTTGTCTCAATCCCTAAATATCTTGGTCTCGGTCTCGATCCCTAAATGTCTAGGTCTCGATCCCTAAATGTCTAGGTCTCAATCCCTAAATATCTTGGTCTTTGTCTCAATCCCTAAATGTCTTGGTGTCGATCCCTAAATGTGTCGACCCCTAATGACATCGGTCGACCCCTAAGGACATCGGTTAGTGTGGTCTTGGCTACAACAGCAGTGGTTTTGAAAGCAGGGCGCGGTGTATGATTTCCAGTCGAGCAGGATGATTGTCTCTGACTGTTTGGACGGGGTTCTTTGGCGAGCAGATTCAGATGTTGGTAAAGGTGTTCGTCTCAGGTATTTATGTTTGTGTTTGCACAGAGAAAAGAAAAGGCCAAACCCATCGAGCCGGACAAGGTGAAAGAACAACAGGTAGGATCATCAGGTTCAGAGGAAGATTAAAGAAAAGATGGAGTAATGATGAAAAACAAACAATAACTTTCTGCTGTTTGTCGACACTCTGCAGGAGATTCTTGTTACCCCTACAGCAGACGTAGAGCATCACCCTCGTCCTCTTCTCCCGTTTCTGTCTCATTACTGTAAGTCCAGTGTTCACTTTTTCTTCTCATATTGCTGAACAATATTGCATTCTCAGCTTGTTGCTTCAGTAGTTTGTATTACTCTTGATTAAATTCATGAATACTGACTGATGTTGAAAATCAGTATTTTAATAAAGCTCTCAGTTACATCGAAACAGAAATGAATCTATTTAAAGGAAATCGCTGACAGATAGATAATAAATAAATCATTGAGACCGTTTACATGCAGAAATGTTCAAGAACAGCTAGTTCTGGTTTTTACAAACTGCTGCGTTTTTTCATTTATTATGGTGAATTGAGAGTCTTCAGGTTTTAAAGGTCACATATTATACAAAATCCTCTTCCCCATTTTCCTCTAACTCTAACAAGTGTCTCTAGTCTGTCTATAAACCCCCCAATGATAAGAAAAGTCCATCCTCTCCGTCTTTTGCCTGCTCCACTTTTCAGAAAATGTGTGCTCAAACAGGCCGTTTGGAGATTTTCCCTTCATGACATCACAAAGGGCAGTAGCCCCTCCCCCAGGTGGGTGACACTCCCACAGCTAGGTGTTTGTTGAGTCTGCCTTCTCACCTTAAACAATAGGACATGGAGCGAGAAAGCACCGAGTACACCCAAGCCCTTCCAGAGAGGGGGCGTGGTCAGACACAGCTCATTTACATATTTAAAGGTACAGACACAGAAACAGCCTGTTCTGAGCAGGGCTGAAATAGAGGGGTTTATAGACATGATCAAATACAGGATCAGAGTGGTTTAAAAAAAGAAACTTCACACACGTTTTGAGGAGCTCTTATTTACACTGAAGAAGAGGAGAATATGTAATCAACAGATTAGAACATTTCTTAGGCTTGAAGTGCTCACCACACCGGATTGGCTAACAGTGACACCTGCTGGCTGTGTGATATATTTCCTTTTTGTGCATTAATGTCACTGACATTCATTTTAGAATCACCAACGATATAAAGATGAGTGAGTGTGGATCTTCAGCACCCAGTTCTGTTTCTGTGACAAGTCGACACTCCAAAGATTATCCTCCAGAATTCAAACCACCAAGAAAAAGAAAGAGGTACAATGATCAGTCTTAAATTCTCAAGATGATGTGTGTCATAAAGAAAGAGGAGGCTGTTGATGAATTATTCTTAATGTCTGAAAACATTAAACTTAAATCCTTTATAATAATTGTCAGGACATCTGAGGAGTTATCAACATACAGCTTTGTGTCTCGGAGGACGGATCACTCCAAAGATTATCCTCCAGAATTCAGCAATCAACCCGTCCAGCCAAAGTAAGTCAACGAAAACTTTATTAATAGTCAAAGTTATATTGAGTCACCTTTCATGAAACCTTTTGGAAGAATAGAAAAGTGTCTCTAAAGCAACAGCTACACACTAGACGATTTTCCCAGTCTACACTTTATGATAATAACATAATGCAATGCACAATAAAATAATCAGCGTAAAATATCAGTTTATAGAACCTGTTTGGATGAATATTCCTCATGAATCAGATCGTGGATGCTTTCAGTGCTGCTTGAACATCTCTACATGATCATTATTCTCTTAGAGTTCCTAAAATCAGGAAGATGATGAAACCTCCGGGAGAATCAACATCTTCTACCGCCAGTTTTGTTTCTGAGAAGAGTCACCACTCCAAAGATTATCCGCCAGAATTCAGTGATGAACCCTTCATAAAAAAGTAAGTATATATAAATGAGTCTATACTTAAAGGATTGATATGTAACTGTGACACCTAGTGTTTAAAATAGGTACCGACCTCCAGGACAACAGCATGACCGTCATTGTATTTACTTAACGTTTTAGTATTAAAATTTGGAACATTTCCCAGAACTGACATGAACATCTGAACACTCTGAGGTTTAATGTAGTTTACCTCTCCTCAGTAAAATATCTGACTATCATCAGCATACAAAGAGATATAATGAACAGTATAATGGCAAATTATATAATTTTAAAATCCATAGACAAATGTTAAATATCATGACTCTATAAATAACATTATAACAATAATAATCTTAAGATTTACACATTCTTAAAGGTCACATATTATCTAAAATCCACTTTCTCTAACACTAATATGTGTCTCTACTCTGTTAACAAACCCCCCAATGATGAAAAAAATCCATCCTCTCCGTCTTTTACCTGCTCCACTTTTCAGAAACTGTGTGCTCGAACAGGTCTTTGAATCTAAGAGCATAGACTTCTTAAAGCAAGCTCTGAGAACACATGAAGAATTGTTTAAGGAGAAGCAAGAGGACGAATATGATCAACAGCATGAGATTGATGATGAAACTAAGGAAGCTGCTATGAAGATTGCCCTGCATGTTCTGAGGACCATGAAGCAGGATGAATATGCCCACACACTCGAGCAAAGTAAGAGCCTGCGTGTTAGCTTCCTGTTTCATGATTGGGTTAGAGATCTGTCTGTAACTGTTCCATAACTTTATTACATTGTGTCCCACTAATTTGAGACAGATTTAAACTTCTATTTGAACTATTTCAACATATTTTTAATCAATGCTTGTTGTGAAGCAAAACAAACTTCTGAGACAATGTTCAGACTTAGCTAATTCAGCGGTAAAGACTTTTAGCATAGCCTAATCATTTAGTCAATGAATAACTAAACTCTAACAGTTTAATTGGTGACACCCATGAATATAAACAATTTTCAACTACAAGAAAATAAGAATGAATAGCAGATGGGATAATTCTTCTGTCTTTGATTTTTCTTATTTCCTGTTGTTAGGTCATTATGGGGTAACTGCAATGTACCAAAAGATACTTAAACCTGACCTGAAGAAGAAAAATGAGTGCCTACTGGAAAATACGCAGAAGTGGCCGGTGCCTCTTCAAAAGATTTATACAGAGATCTATCTGATAGAAGGAGACAGTGTAGATGTCAACCGTGAACATGAAGTCAGACAAATTGAAGCAGCATTCAACAAACGGAAATCTTTTGAAATAAAGATCAGGTGTGAGAACGTCTTCAAGCCCTTACCAAACCAACCGGCCAAACCAATCAGAACTGTGCTCACCAAGGGGATAGCAGGCATCGGCAAAACTGTGTTGACACAGAAGTTCATGTTGGACTGGTCAACAGAGAAGGCCAATCAAGACATCCAACTCTTGTTTTCACTTCCTTTTAGGGAGCTGAATTTGTTGAAAAATAAAACAAGAAGTTTGATGGAGCTCCTGTATGACTTCTCTCCAGGCCTGAAAGAATCTGGAATCACAGACCTGACTCAGTGCAAAGTTCTGATTGTACTGGATGGTCTTGATGAGTGCAGACTCCCTCTGGATTTCAATAAATCTGAGAACTGTTGTGATTCATCACAGTCGGCCTCAGTTCAGGTGTTGCTGACAAACCTTATTGCAGGTCACCTGCTTCCACAAGCTTATCTGTGGATAACTACCCGTCCTGCTGCAGCGAGCTGCATCCCTGGACGGTATGTCGACCGCTTGACTGAGATACGAGGTTTCAACAGACATCAGAAGGAGGACTACTTCCTCAAGAAAATTGACGATGAAAACTTGGCCAAAAGAGTTATCGCAAACATTAAGTCAACAAGAAGTCTGTACATCATGTGCCATGTG